TCCAGCTTACATACAAATTCGACTTAAGGACAGACCTTGGGAACGGAACTCGTTCTTAACCTGGGGACTGCCTGTATCACTTGCAAGCTAGACAGCCATCTGCTGGAAATATGTATTTGGATTCTTGCACTAAGCTGGGGATTAACTCAGTGGCTTAAATGACCCTGCCAAACTCTTAAGATTTGGTGACCTGGAGAGGATCCTAAGATTGAAACGTTACAATCGACTTGAGTCGAATCATGTAGATTCTTGTTCCTTATTTTTTTTTTATTTCAGGCAACTTCTGAGTGGACCTTAGATTACCCTCCATTTTTTGCCTGGTTTGAATATGTGCTTTCACACGCTGGCAAGTACTTCGACAAAGAGATGCTCTCAGTTCAGAACCTCAACTATTCCAGCCCGATGACTGTTCTTTTCCAAAGACTTTCAGTCATCACTACAGATATGCTCTACATCTATGCCGTGTACCAGTAGGTGGTTCTGTCTTTATTTGGTGCACTCTCGGGCATGGAGGAAAGGGAAGTTGTTTTTGGTTATCCTGGTCTCTACCTGCTTTTTTTCAAAATAATACTTGAATTAGTTTGAAGAGTATCCTTTCTCTCCTCCCAAAGAGGGGATGGTGGGAATCATAAAAAACTCATAAAATGAGAGCATGACATAATATAACTTTGATTTTTCCCTGTCTGAAAGGTTATGAAAAGGAAAGTGGACTGCATATACCTTTCTGCAACATTGCTAAGCCCCAGGACTTGGATAGCTCCTAAAAGTAATGCATTGTATACGGTTATCCAAAGTGCAAAAGTCAATACATTCAATTCCCAGTACACGTAGTCCTTGACTTACAACCATTTGTTCAGCGACTGTTTAAAGTTACAACAGCACTGAATAGTGGTTACAACCGGTCCTCAGAGTTCCAGCCATCCCAGCACTTCCATGGTTACGTGATCGCGATCTGGGCATTTGGCAACCATTTCCACTTATAACCAGTTGCAGTGCCCCACGATCACGTGATCACCATTTGCAACCTTCCCTGCTGGCTTTCCCAGAAGGTCAATGGGAAACCAGTGAGAAAGATCACAAGTCATCGGGGTAAGTCTCCCCCACCTGTGCATCCTCCCCAGATCCTCTTTGCTCACGCTGTGCCAGCTACTTGCACGCCCTCACTGTGCCTTCCTTGCACCCCCATGCACCCTTCCCAACCCTCACTACACCACCATTGTGCACCCTCCGTGACCCTCACTGCACCTCCCTCATGCACCCCTATGTACCCTCCCCAACCCTCACCATAGCTCCCTGCGCACTTTCTGTGACCCTTGCCACGCCACCCTTGCACTGTCATGCATCTCCCACGCCTTCCCCCGCCCAGCAGCAGCCACTTACCTGCCTGCTGGCCTGCTTGTGACCTACCTGGAACTTGCAACTTCCTGCCGGCTTCCCCACTGACTTGGTTGTGGGAAGCCAGCAGGAAATTGCCTTGCCTAACGACCATGGGATTTGGTTAACAACAGCAACCGGGACTGCAGGGATTGCCGTCACTAATCGATGCAGTCGCGCTTTACAACCACATTGCTTAGCAACAGAAATTCCAGTCCCAATTGCCGTCCTAAGTCGAGGACTACCTGTAGAAGGTTTGAACCACATTGTAAGATCTGCGGCTGTGTACATCTGACAAGTTCTAAATAGAATGCAACAGGTTGTCTGTTGCCTCCTACTGGTCAGTATAAGTAAAACCCCACAAAGGAATTCACCTTGTGTAAAGATAGATTTTATTTATTTATTTACAGGGCTTATATGGCCGCCTATCTCATGCAGTGACTCTACGCAGCTCACAACAATCCATAAAACATAGTTAAAATCATACCCTTCCCCCCAGGTGCCAGACCAGACGTCCTCCCAGCTCAGCCCCCATCCTAGCCCAACGCTTGGTGGAAGA